GACATGATAACTTAAGAAAAAATGGAGTGGCTCTAATTGTAAAAAAGAATTTAGTAAATTTTATTTTGGGTTATAAACCAGTTAGTGACAGAATCATAGTCTTGAGGATGCAGGGAAAACCAGTCAATCTGTCAATCATTCAAGTTTATGCTCCTACTACAGAAGCGACAGAAGAAGAAATTGAAGGGTTTTATGAAAAGCTTCAAGAAACAGTTAATAATTTACCAAAAAAAGATGCACTCTTTATTCTTGGTGACTGGAATGCAAAAGTAGGAAAAGAAGAGACTCCAGGACATGTTGGAAGATATGGTCTTGGGAAAAGAAATGATGCTGGGATACGACTAGTGGAATTCTGCATTTCAAATAACCTCTTTATTGCAAATACATATTTCCAATTACATAAACGAAGACTATATACATGGACATCACCAGATGGAAATTATAAAAATCAAATTGATTATATAATAGGTAGCAAGAGATGGAGGAATGCAATCAAATCAGCATGTACCAGACCGGGTGCTGACTGTGGGACTGATCATGAACTCCTTATCTCAAAAATATCATTACATTTGAAAGCTAAGAAAAAAGGAAGTGAAATAATGGGATGTTATGCTAGAGATATCACCCCATCTTACATCTCAGAAATAAAAGAAGGTCTCAAAACAATTAATACATCAGGAAAGAAACCTGATGAAGTCTGAGAGTCTTTAAAAAACACCATTAAACATACTGCTGATAAATGCATAGGAAAGAAGAAGGAAAATAAGAAAACGCCTTGGCTGTCAAACAAATCTTTAGAAATTGCAAATACTGGGAGACAAATGAAAATTATAGGAGATCGTCAAACAATTAAAAAATTAACTGCAGAGTTCCAAAGACAGGCTAGGAAGGATAAAGAAGAATATTTTAATAAATGCAAAGAAGTTGAATTAAATAATACAAAAGGACGTACAAGGGATCTCTTCAAAAAAATTAAAGAGGTCGTTGGAAAATTTACCCCTAGGCTTGGTATTTTAAAGAACACACATGGAAAGGATTTAATGGAAGAAAGTGAAATAAAGAGAAGATGGAAAGAATATACAGAACAACTTTATAAAGCAGATAATAACATAGAAGAAATAATTGAAGGAAGACATTTTACTTTGGAACCATCAATTTTGAAGGAAGAAGTGGAATGGGCAATCAACCAAATTTCAATTGGGAAAGCAGCAGGAACTGACGGAATTCCAGTGGAACTGCTCAAAGCAGCTGGAGAGGAAGGAATTAGAATACTAACAAAGCTATGCCAACAAATATGGGAAAAGAAGGTTTGGCCAAAGGAGTGGAAGCAATCCATTTTTATACCAATCCCAAAAAATGGCAATGCAAGAGAATGTTCCAACTATAGAACAATCGCACTAATTCCCCATGCAAGTAAGATTCTGTTAAAAATAATACAGAAGAGAATTGAGCCATATTTAGAAAGAGAATTGCCACTGGAACAGGCTGGATTTAGAAAGGGAAGAGGAACTCGCGATCAAATTAGCAACATCAGATGGATTCTAGAAAAGGCAAAAGAGTACCAGAAGGACGCCTTCTTTTGTTTTATAGACTATAGTAAAGCCTTCGATTGTGTGGATCACTCCAAGTTATGGAAAGTACTCAGGAGCATGGGAATTCCTGAACACCTTATATCTTTATTGATGAGTCTTTACAATGAACAAGAAGCAAAAGTAAGAACTCTATACGGAGAAACTGAATGCTTTAAAATTGAGAAAGGGGTGCGACAAGGCTGCATTTTGTCTCCATATCTGTTTAACTTATATACTGAATATATCATGAGAATGGTTACTACAAATGAAGAGTCCATTGGTATCAAGATTGGAGGCGAAACTATTAATAATATAAGATATGCAGATGATACCACCCTTTTGACAGAAAGCAAAGCAGATTTAGAAAAACTTATCATAAGGGTAAAAGAAGAAAGTGCTAAATTTGGTTTGAAGCTAAATGTAAAGAAAACTAAAGTAATGTCAACTAAAGAGTTAAAAGATTTCATTGTGGATGGTGAAAGAATTGAAGTGGTAGAAAGTTACATACTTTTGGGCTCAAAGATAGAAAGGAATGGAAGTTGTGAAGGAGAAATCAGGAGGAGAATTAATCTTGGCAGAACAGCCATGGCAAATCTCACCAAGATAATGAAAGATAAAGACATTTCCATTCATACTAAGAAAAGAATTGTAGAAGCAATGGTTTTCCCTGTAACATTATATGGCTGTGAAAGCTGGACTCTAAGGAAAAAGGAAAGAAAAATGATAGATGCATTCGAATTATGGGTATGGAGAAGATTACTTAGAGTTCCATGGACAGAAAAGAAAACAAATATCTCAATTTTAGAAAAAATTAAGCCAAGCTTCTCCTTAGAGTCAAGAATCTTAAAACAAAAATTGACCTACTTTGGACATGTGATGCGTAAAGAAGTTTCCCTAGAGAAGACTATTATGCTGGGAAAAGTGGAAGGTAGAAGGAAGAGGGGAAGGCAACGGATAAGATGGATGGAGGAAATAGAGAAAGTCACAGAAATGAAGCTGGAGGAGCTACGAGAGACAACAAGGGAAAGATCAAGATGGAGAAGACTTGTCCATGAAGTCACCAGGAGTCGACGACGACTCGATGGAACTTAACAACACATAAAACTATGAAAATTTCAAAAATGGGAAAATACATTAAACGAACAATTATTTAACACAACAGCATCATAATGCCGGGCTGCAATTTTTAATCATGTTTTTAATTTATATAATTTAAAATATAGGCTTTGATTTTAGTAGTGTCTTGCCCCTGTACATCATACTTTTCCTGTTAACAATAGAATAATGCCAGTCATTCATCTAACTACGTTCTGGAGAAAATATTTAAATTTAAATAAGTCAAGGCCTCCTGCCCCTAATCTTACCATATTTGGCCTCGACTTTCATCTATCTAACACCGTTCTGGAGATTAAGAAAGGACAGATAGCCAGAAAGGTACCAGTGGAAGTATATAGGTCCGCAATTTGAAAATTGCACCCTCAATTATTATATATTTAATTGATTATCTTTAAGCTCAGGTTTTTATTTATTACCTCATTATCATCTCTCGTAATCTATTTTCATATACAAATAAATCTATTCATTACTGTTATTATATGATTAACAAATTTCTGAATAGTATGAATTAATGTAGTTTTGAATGTCCTGTAATTTTATTATTTCTATAAATTATTTTCGTCCGTTTGTACATCCAATACAACTCGAATTTTTTAAAGAGCAATTCGTTTTTAATCAATATTACTTCGTCTTCCATTAAAGCAATCTATTTATTACTTAATTCGATTTATATCATGATATGTTGTCTCAATAAAATTGAAAAATAAATTTTTATCGATTTCATTCGTATAGCATTTTCATCTCCCAGATACTTTGGCTTATTGAATATAAACTGAAAACGAACATGTTATAATAATTCAAGGAGAAAGTAATATTGAGAAAAGATGTAAAGAAAATGAATTTATAAGTTCTTAGGAAAAGCTTCAAAATATAAATCTATATAATTTCTTATATAATAATTATTAATAAATCAATTCTTTTAAAGTATATGAAAAAAATGTTTTCTATACGTTTTTCTAGAATATTTAACCAAAAACATTAACGTAACGACTTTCACAAATGATCACGTTACCTAAATGCCAGTTCGAATGCTTTTTAACTTTTCAATTAACTTTTAATGTAATAAATATTATTTTATTACATTGAAAGATTTAAGTATTTAATTTCAAATATTGATATTTATCAAATTTACTTTAAAATAATTAAATGATATTTTTATGATGCAAAATAATTATTTAAAAGTTAAATTTATATATAACAGAATTAATCAATGTAATTTAACATAGTTTATTATTAAAACTAATTGAAACTCATTCTATAAAATAACTATACATTACTGATCAATAATTTTCGGATTTCATTCTGTTTAAATTGTAAATGTCCACATCAAAATGCATTATAATCATTTTCATGGCTGTCACTTAGCTAATATCATTTCCAACCAATAATATTATGATAACCGTGAAAGCACTTGCATTAGTTAATATATATTGATGTGAATATTCTATATATTTGCAGGATAATCAGAGAACTAAGTCGTATTTATCTATATACACGTACAAGTTATATACGAGATTATTATCACTTCAATTAGAATGCATCTAAGTCATTTTTTTCATATATTAGATTAAAATAGTTAAGATTATAAAAATATTTTAAATATTATAAATTATGTAATATAGTAAATAATAATTTATTTTTGTTTATTAATTAATGTATTTTTAATAAAATTATATACTTTTAATTACACTTTATAAACTTTAATTACAATTCTATTATTACAGAATTTGATATTATATAATACACTAATATAGGGTGCAGTTTATTATACAATATATACTACGCATTACAAATCTACCAAGTAAAGAATCTGATAATATTATTACGATTATTACTATTTTAGAAATTATAGCTTATTAAAAATTTCTTTAATCTGAAATAAACTAAAACAGTTTTTAGTTGGAAAAATGAATATGTAACTACAATTCATATTAGAAATTGAATTAAACAATTTCAATTAGAATTAAGTATTGGATTGTACATTGTTTTCTGTCTTGAATGCCTATAGTTGTAACATGAACTTATTTCTCTTTAACATCATCACAATCTGTTGAAGCACTTTCCTCATGCAAAGAAATTACAGTAAATTCTTCATGTAATTTATTATATTTATTTTAAAAAATCTACTTTCAAGTTGCTTTATAAAACGAATACTTTGAATATGTATAAAAACTCACAATTTAACAAATTTCGATTTAATAAATATATCAAAATGTTGTTTAAAAATCAAAATTAGAAATGATTTCAAAATTTTTCAGCTGATTGATGAACTGCAATTAATTAACTCTTGCAAAATTATTCAATGAATATTTCTGTATTTATAAAATTTACTTAATCTTTAAATCATTTTTTAAAATTATATCTACATTAATTGACGTTTATTATTATTAAAATAACAGTTAAAACATTTTGTATAAAATAAATTTGTTTTAATTAAAGTTATATTATATCTTTTTATAAAAATAAGATATTCATAAAAATACTAATGGTTTATATTATTGTTTTCAATTTTAAATAGTTTTTATTTTACTACATTTTTTTAATGTTGTTTTATTTGTTCTAGTATCTCTTTAGTTGTTAGTACAATCACTTTGACTATAGACAAAGTTCAATAATCGTGTACTGATTTCTTGAGAATACTTTCGAGAAAGTAACAAAAACAAGTTTAGAGGAGGTTGAATCAAGGAATTTCAATGGACTAGGAATGCTGTTCGAAAACTAATGACCTGGCCTTGTCGCTAAATCAAACGATGCAAATCGATGCCGTGCGTGAGCTGCAAAAATCTGTGGAAATTGTATTCTTTGTAGGAAGTTAAATGTAGTCAATTTAGACTTCAATGTTAGATAGTTGAAATTCATTGAAATGCTTTTATTCCTATCAGGATTAAAGAATAATGGATGAATAAAAAAGAGTAATATTGAATATTAAAAGAATTTATGAGGTATAAAATTTTATTTCAAAGCTGATTTAAATGTGAAAAATTATAAGAATGGGAGAGATTAAGACAATTTAGAAAAACAATTATTTATATACAGTAGTTAAAATTCAAATATACTTTATTTTTTAAGATGTTAAATGTAAAAATATCTCTATCGAGTCTTTACGAGAATAATACTTAATTATTAATTAAATTTTAAAATAAAACGAAGACAATATGCAAAATAAAACCGGTATTTTAAATGCGATCTTTTCGTAAATATGCTTAAAAGTTCAATCAAATCGTCCTTAAACGTTAACAAAAGGTTTAAATGATTTCATTAATAGACTCAGATAAGGCTATTCTAAGTCTCGAATTACAATTGATTTTCGAAGAATTCAATCAATCAATGTTTTCTTTCTACTGAACTAATGTATTCAGAATGATCAAAGCACCGTATCTGAATACAAGAAAATCTTTTGAAACTTCCAAATCTATACTTTTCTTTTACGGTGATAAATAGTTTAGATTTTTATTCAATTGAGTTACATTTGTAAAAGTTCAGATTCTACAACAAAAAAAGAAATAGGGATTTAAATGATATAATTTTTCATTTAAAATATGTTACGCGTTTTATTATAGAATTTAATTTTATAATAGTTATTATGCTTATGTTTATAATATAAATTTAATTGAATCATTTGGATTAAGAATTACTTTCGTATAAATTTACCGATACATTTATTAATTTTAAAATGTCGTTTTACAATTTTCAAGAGGTAATTTACATTTAAGGAGTAAATCATATAATGCGAATAGTAAATTGATATAGTCAATTTAAATTTTATTTCCTGATCCCAACAGTATTTTAAAGAATTTTACTTAAGCGCATCATTAAACTTTAAAAGTGTATTTAAGTTGAAAGAAAATGAATTGTTTAATTGAACTTCGAACACTTGATCGAATGATTAATGGTAAAGTTAATTGAAATGATTCTATATAATAGATAAGAATTAAGTTAATGATGTCTGTTTTAAAGAAAAACTTATATAAAAAGTCTTTAAAGCTATATTAATGACGTTACTCCACATGAAACATGTAGAAAAAACTTCTAACATGTTTCATACAGATTTAAATATTTGAAATTTACTTTAAGAAATTAAAAAAGGAGAAAGTGTATCGCTAATTCTCTTTTATCGTAATTACAAACTTTGCCATGATGACTACTATTTACTTTTTTATATATAACGGCTCATATTAAACGTAACTCACAGTCCATTATTAGCTACTGCTTTAACTTACTTTTAATACTTTTTATCCATATTCAAAACATTCTTATCTAAGAATTTAAATTTAAATATATTATATATCATTAAATTTTTTTTTTGAAAATTTATAAAAAAATATTCAACAATTTTAAAATGTTAAAAGTATTTTCAATTTATCAATTTTAATTTATGCAATCCGAAACATGTTCCTAGAAATTTACAAGTGAAAAATCTCTTCTGTGATTAATTTAAGCAGTGAAACTGGATAGCGGAAATCTCAAAAACGAAAGGAATGACAGATAATTTAAATATATAAATCATTTTTCATTCTATATAGTAATATTAAATATATAATATTATGGAAATTTTGAACTTTAGAAATATGTAGGAAATTTCTGTAATTCATACACAACCTTACAATAAAATTATATATAAGAGAAAGTCGTCTCGATTTTTTACTAATAAGAATTTTTATGAAAATTATGCGTTTATAGGGATAGAAAGTCGTGAACGTTTTTCTTAATATGCATATTTCTAGCTTAAATAATTCTGATGTATTGAATTCGTCTATATTAAATGACATGATTTAAATTGCAAACTGAAAAATTTTCAATCAAATTTACAATTTATAAGATCAAGATTCGTTCTAAGCATCAAATTAAAATTTAGGGAATGCTGTGGTATGTAGTTTATATATATGTATATATTATATTTATTTATTTAAAAAATAATTTTATATATAAGAATAATTCTTCTAAACATCGCGTTAAACTAGGGTTATTTTTTTATATTCTTCATCAAGCTTTAAACTACTGAATTAATATTAAATATTAATACAATTCATAAAATTTTAGGACTATCTACATAATTAAATTTAAAATATACTGAAAAAACTCCTATATTAAATTTATAAAATTTGTAGCTATTAATTTTAATTGATAATTATCTATTGAATTCTAAATAAAAATCTCTGNTTATATATATATAATGGAATTCATAATAAATATTTTGTTTTTATTAACAAAATATTTCAAGTACCTTTAATAAATATTTTATTAAAATTTTATCCTATTAGCTTAAATATATTACATTATTCAAACTATAAAAAACAACATTACATAATATTAAGTTTTTTAAAAAAATGTGTGAATAAAGTAATATATGTAGATTAGTTTTTATAAGCGTATTTATTGTTTATTTTATCAATTTATTTTCAAAGGATATACAATATTATATAAACAAGAGAATGGCCAGTGGGAGGAGATGGATGTACCTGGAGACCAATTATCTTACACTCTTCAAAATCTTCAGTGTGGTACTCGTTATCAGTTTTACATGTACGCTTATAACGAGATAGGAAAAAGTGATCACAGTGACATAACAAGCGTCACCACACTCGGAGGAGGTTGGTATATTGTGAAATTTTAGTTATAATTTCTGGCACTAGATGGTAGCATTAAACTTCCTAAACACTCCCCTGATAGATCTTCTAACACTACTCCCATTTTATTAATATTAAATTTAAATGATAGAAGTGTTATTTAAAACGTCCACTTATTACTCTCTAGATCATTGAAAATAATTTTCGAGAAAATTGTTAAATTATATAAATGAGATTTAAAAAAAATTGTTTATCTATTTAGTAATGAGAAATTGCGCGATGATTGATGCAATCCAATTCATCTTCAGCTGAAAGATCTATAAATATTTTAAATACTTTTAAATAATATTTTAGTTAAATTTACTATGCAATCGGAGAAATTTTATTGATTGTAATTTGAAAAAGTTTTTATTGATTAACATTAACGATGAAGAGTAATTGAATATTAAATTACGGTCATTATTTTCAGTGAATAATTAGTTTTCAAACTTAAGATAATGTGAGACAAAGTAACTACATTCATTCCTTACTATTTTTTTTCTCCATACCAAGTTTATTTTATGATTAAGTAATTAAAGAAGTCATGCAAACGTAATGAAACTACTGTGAGAAATAGAATTATTTTACTTATGGTAGCATGTTTTCTTTTCTTGCAGCTCCTGTCGCTCCAGATAAGAAGCATTTATTGTACGTCAACACTACGTCTGTGTTGGTAAAACTCAATGCTTGGCATAATGGAGGTTGTCCTATCTCGTCCTTCACTATCCAATACAAACAACGTGGTCAGAGGGAGTGGACACTCGTTTCAAACAGCATTCTTCCTGTCGAAAACAATTTCCTGTTACCAGGTCTTCAGCCTGCTACAAGGTACAACCTCTTGATGTCGGCTCACAACGAGGCAGGAACCACAGAAGCCGAGTTTGTTTTTGGAACACTCACCTTAACTGGTGGTGAGAATTGCTTGGATATCTACCTTTTTATGTTTTTATTTCTTTTTTTATCTGCAAAGAATATTTCGTGTTTATTTCAGTTGTCACTCATAGAAAAACTATTAAATATCTACTAAAATAAATAAGAAATTAAAAAAGAGCTTTCAACTTTGAAATTTTAAATAAAATATCAATATTTTAACAATATATAAATTTTATACGACGAATTAAAAAATAAAATTTATCGGAAATCATAACGATTCTGGGCTACCATTTTATTTTTTATTTCAGAAATTTTTTATTTTTATTTTTTTCTATATTACATCTGAAAGAAGTTTCATTTCTAGAAGCAGTTTCAAAATTGAATTGGGGGAATCGGCAAAGGTAAAATTACATCCAGTATATCGAATGTAATAATGTCTTCTTTCTTTCCACTAGCTACTCTGTCTCCGGCATTAAATGAAGGAAACGAAGGAACGTCTTTCTACAAGAACTTGTCCATTATAATCCCAATTGTCTGCGCTATAGTTGTATTACTGGTGATTACAGTTGTAGTACTCATAGCTTGCGTTAAAAAAAGTAGAAATTCTGAATATGGTACAACTTCTCAAGAATCCGGTGAATATCAGTTTTTTTCGTCAAAATATTTTTATTCTTTCTGAACAAAAATACCTTACAAAAATTGTTTCCTGCTTCTTAATCTATTACATTTTTATATTATTTTTCTTTAAAAATTCTAAATTTAAAATGCTTATTTGTTTACTATTATTATGGTTCTCTATTATAATACGAAACTTATTCATAACATTATTAAATATGACTACGTTAAATGTGTTTATAACTATGTAAAATTTCATTATGACTAGTTTAATGTGACTAATTATATTTCTGTATATTCATATGTAAAATAATAATATAATAATTATAATTGAATAGCTTCCTGGCTACTATAATAAATATTTGTATACAGTTTATAGATTAATTAATTCTTAAAACAGAATTATTAATTTCGTTAAAAATCAAAGCAAACTCTTTCAATTAAATTCAATTTAATTTATAAAATTTTAAAAATTCGGTAAAATATAGAATTTTTTTTATTAAATTTTTATTAAGTTATAAATCATATACTCAAATTACATTTGAAAAAGTGAAAAAGAATATTTTATTATATTAGTATTCTATATATAGCAGAATATAACTTCACACCAAACCAATATTTTATTTTAAAAATTCGCTGTTCGTATATGTATCTTGGAATATTCAATAAATACAGATATGCAGTCCATTATAGTATATTCTCTGGAGTGCATGTAGGTTACAACTTTTACCTTAGATGATGTTAAAGCTTTATAACTCAATGCATTTAAGCTATTGCACCATTTCTCGTGTCAGTCAGAATTGCTTATAGTGCACGGATGCGTGAAGACTGGAGATAGTACAAGTAATGTCTTAGACGATCTGATCTAAGTACTCGTTTAAATCGTGTTATATTGTAGATACGTTCCAGATTCGATTTTTTTTCTTTTTACGCTTTCTGTGGAATTAGTCATGAATCATAGTTAGCACGCATATTCTCGTTAAATGAGACTATTAAGTTAGAAAGTTACAGTTTAATTCATTCTGTTCTCCTCTACGCATCGTAAAATATGTATCGAATATATCCCGTGTAACAAATCAATATTTTAGCCGTATCAGCGCTTGAATGAATATGGGTAATTCTTGAAATTCCTGGAATACTTTAGTTTCATATTAATATTATTAAATATTCAAAATAAATTTAAATATTCGATTGGAGAATATACTTGTTATATAATTCATTTCGAGTAAATTTTCTTTCAAAAAACGAGAAAGAGCGAAAAAGAAAGATTGAAAATTGCACTCGTAAGAATTCTTTTCTAAACAATTTTTAAATAAGTAGAAAGGAAAATATGCGAATATATTTAATGTATTAAATTTCTTTCTTGTTTAACTTGTTATACGAAAGTTCATTAAGTAAGATATTCTCCATTTAATTTACATATTAATTTAAAATAATTATTTAAAGCAAAAAAAAACTAACTTTCTTCTCAATTATTTTAAAACTTATTAATTAATTTAAAAGATTAATTCATCATGTATTCCTCATCAATAAAATGAAAAACTAATTTGTTTACTTTACAAAAAAATAAATAAATAAAAAAGCTTAAAGCACAAGATTAAAGTAAAATTATCCGACGACATTGCCAAAGGAAACATTTTTATAAACATACAGAACGTTGCTTTTATGTCGTTGTAAAGGTTATTCACTTTATAAGTCATTAACTTTTCTCACTTACGAACGAAGAAAAAATATTTCGGTAGTTGTGCTTCATAATTTTACTGATTTGCGTTGGCACGGAAACCATTCAACTTCCTTCAAAAGAACTTTTTTTATTATTTTTAATTTTTTCATATTTCAAATAATATATTTATCTACAACGCGATGGTAATTTGCGCCTTGTTGTTTTGTGGGAAGATTGCCAAGTTTCTTAATGTGCTAAGAAACAATTTCACACCATTCTAAGAAATATGTCTATCTTTACGTATTTCGAAACGATAACTTTAAAATTGCCACGTAAACTTGCCACGAATTTCGTGACGTAGAACGCTTAACGATTACTACATTACTGTTCTTCCTTGTATTCTGACTTTGAAAAGAATGAATATTGCACTTAGATCTAATGGTCCAAAACACAATGTGAAGCTACCTTCTTAGTTGATGGTCTTCTATAACGCTCTGTCTCTGGTACTCTTCTGTTCACTGCCATAAATAATTTCTCCTTTTCTTCGACGACAATACCACCGACATGCATTCACAAGAACTTCTCTGTTAAGATATCCGTAGAAAAATGTCCTCGTGTAAATTCTTTGAAAACTTTATTCCAGAAACGTATTCCTAGTTAAAATAAATCGAGAAAGCCAAAAAATTAATAAATTCCATTCGAAAAATATTAATATGGGCCTTATTAAAATAAACTGGAATTGCAATACCAGTATATGCAAGGTAGCAATTCGAGGGGAAAATATTATGAAACCTATCTTATATTTTTGAGTGTATTCCTTGATATTCGTTATGCTGAATCTATTGATATTTCTTTCTTAAAGTTACTTCTAGTATTTGTTATACAACTCATTTCTAATACTAAAATTTTTAAGAAATTGCTTAAAAGAACATGACATTCATCGATTTATAGTTTATTAATAGGAAACTAATAAACGAATGCAGAAAATTTTATAATTTTAAAGATAAAGTCTAGTCAAGGAAGTTCTTCTTCTTGGTCATCAATTTTCTGTAATAAATATAGAATTGCTGTAGTGATTCTAGTTTGATTTATTCGTAAAGTTTTCTAATTACGTTCTGAAGGTTAAACATATTCGTAAAAATTTTTGTTTTCTGCGCGTTTTTATTAACAATTCTTTATTTTTTGAACAATTTAATTTGAAAGTAATATATTTTGAAATTTATTTATTTCTTACATTTAAATTTTTTCTTATTTTTTACACACTTTTCATTGATGTAATATCTGAGTTTATTTACTTTTGAAATGCTTCTATGTTAATTTCTAATGATAAAACACGAAACACGTATCTAAAAATAATTTATTTTGCTTTAACAATGTGATCAATAGAGATTTACTTTATGTTATTTAACGAATTTACGAAAATAGTTATATTAAACCTGTCACAATTGACAATACTACATAGTAGCTAATACACTTTGACTTAATAAAAAAATCGTTGTTTCCATTCGAAGGTTTCTTTCTCGTGTAATAAGTCACATTGTTCTGATATTATTGTATTACAGATCGCCGTGCAGACCCGAAGGGAGATAGCATTTCTATGGCTTCTGTTGGAAAGAAGCTATACGAAACACCGAGGGAACCTCTTTATTATCCTTCTCCTTATGCAACAACGAGAATATCTATGTATTCTGGTGATAGCGAATCGTCTTCAGGACAAACTAATAGCTTGCAAAGACATGTAGGGAATAGGCCAGAGCATACTTACGACGTACCTTTTCCTCCCAAACAGGTACACTTGATATTTTAAAATAAATTTTACATAAGTATTTATTTTAATATTAAAATAAAATGTCTTAAGTTTTACCATAAAAATTCAAAGCTGGCTATATTCCAAAACGAATACTTAAATTTTTTATATCTTATTTTACTTAAAATACACTTTTAAAAATAGTCGTTTAAACGAAAATGAATTTTTAATTTATTTTTATTTTTTATTTTTCTATTTATACAGATATAATTTAGAAAATGATTTTGTAAGCTAATATTCAAAAGCGTAATAGGTTTTCTTTTACAATAAATTATAATTACTTTGAATTAATAGTTTATTTTAAACAAAGTAATAATTTGTTTTTAGTTTTGCAATCAGACTAGATGTTCTTCAGTCTCTCATGATTATCAAACGGTTTTTGCAGATGGTGGACAATATCTTACAGGTAAAGTAATTTTCCGATTAAATCCTTTAATAACTTTTACATCATATTATTTAATTTGCTATAAAAAATTATAATTATATTATTCCAATAAATTGTTTTCCGATTATTTTTAACAAGAAAAATAAATAAAATTACAATTAAATAATTTGTATATTTTTAAATATTATTTCTCATTCATATATTATTTAAAATAAAATTTAAAAACTGAATTTTACGAAAAAAGCTATTTAAATATTTCATAAAAATCTTTCATATTTGTATAGAAAACTCTTTTTTGTATTTAAAAATTATTTAAAATCATATTGTAAAATTTTAAAAAATTTACTTAAAGAAATAAAATATTTTATTCAATATCTGATTAAATATTTGAAGCTATTTTACTCTTTCTTGGGATCATAAAGAGTAAATAAAACGATTAAATAACATTTCTCACATGAATTTGTTTTGTTCGTCCAGCTTCTGATAATAGGCAAGATCCCACAAAATCCCATAGGATAAATCACGAGGATAGACACGAGCGATATCAAACCCACAGGATTACAGAACCAACACGAAGACACAATTCTATGAATAACTCTCGAGATACATATACCGATAGGTAAAGCCATATATTTATTCAAACTTTATGTCTTTCATATATATATATATATAATGCATGATAAGAATGCAACCATGAAAGAATCGATAATATAAATTATTAATACTTTATTACTACTTTAAGTATTATTATTCACTGGAAATATTTAAATTTTTATTAATAAATAGCTTACATATGATATAAATTAAATTATTTAGTGGATCGGAAGACGACAGCAACAGCGAAGAAATGGCGAAAAGACATTTTACTGCCAACGCGACAGATAACCATGAAATGTCAGAAGCAGAATGCGATAGAGATTATCACTGCAACTTGAAAAAAGGTTTCATTTATTTATTATCTACTTTACCAAATTTTAAAATTCAGCGTAATATATTGTAATTTCTATCTTAATATCTGTTTTTTCTTATTAAGTATTCATTATTTAAAGAAATATTGTTTTTTTTTAATGTGAAATATTATGAAGTTTATCTCTGAAAAATCTAGAAGAATCATTAACTTTATTGATTATTTTATTATCCGAATATTAAAACATAAAATTAATTAATGTAAATATATGTGTAAAATTTAATTTATTTTTAAAATAAATATTCTGTTTTAAAATATTTTCCGAACAAAGAAAGATAATTAAGTTAATCAATTGATAAAATTATATGCATGTTTACCTTAAATTGTAAAATATAATTGGTTCAATTTCGATTATTGATTATATCTAATGCGTTACACTATCAATGGTTATTACATTCGAGATAATTAAAACAATAATTTTAATTTTATATAAATTAACTATCAGTCTACGATTGAAAACTTGGAACTGTGAGACTGTTAGAATGTTTCTTTAAAATGTCTACATATTTAGAAGATTGAAATATTTAATATTTTTATAGAAACTATACTCTTTAGTATATATATCATTCGTATAAGTAGAATATTCATTAAATTCATAAATAATAATATTTATAACTTTATAATTCATAACAAAAGAGAAATATAATATAATAAATTATATTAAAACTTTAAAAGTTTATAACTTTTATTATTTTAACAGGAAATTTCTGTAATTAAATAGTTGAAAATTCTCGCTTTTATTAAATAATTAAATTCATTTTAGGTATTTGAAATATTTCGAATTTAAACAACCGAATTACATATTTTATTTAGAATACATTTGTTTAACAATTAGATTATATTTAGTTATAATATTTTAGTGATTTTAACATGTTGCATAGTTTAACAATTCGCGTTCAAGTAAACATTACACTTAAACCATATAGGAGTCAGGATAATAAATCATTATGAACAACAATGATTAATTCAAGCATCTATACTGTACAAACATCTATGTTGTAGATATATTCTGCAAATGTTACAAAACAATAACAAATAATGAAGTGGTAAGACAGAAGCCATTGAAAGCGGTATTCATTATGTAAGCCATCTTCATTCTAAATTGATAAGGAAGAGTTGCTGCGATCAAAATCATTATTGTGTCTCTCACTAAGAAACAAAAGATTTTACATAGGAAGCAGTGAGAAGAAGCAGAGTGTCAAACAAATTCTATAACAATGCATCGCTATTTTGCCAAACTCACGCAGGTTTCTCATTATTGTGTATGGTGTTCTTCATATTAACAACAATACTCGAGAAAAAAATGAAAAATTGTTTCTTGTGTGCGTGTGTGAAAAGAACAGTTGAATTTTTGGATACGTTCCTTACTAAAGTAAGTATTTCATTCAAAATATTGAACGATTTGTAAGGGATATCTATACCAAGATGAAACGAATATACTCCAATATAATAGATAGAACTCTGTATATACTCGTATTTATAAACAATGTCTGAATTATGAAAAAATTTCCTCAAATATTAGGAAAAATTCTTATATACACATATATGTTTTTTTCTAAATTTAAAATTGAATTTTCTATTTTAACAAAATTGTTATATTAATATACTGTATTTACATTCTAATTGTATAAAGGTCGAATTAAATTAACCGATTGCAGTAACCATCACATGAAAATGTCAAGCAGTTTAATGAATTTAATGTGGACCTTGACATTATGAGACAAGCATAGACCGGTGTATTTAAGCAAACTACCTTAAACAACGATATACAGTCTCTGGTGTGTTATATTCCGTAAATGATATACAACCGTTAATTTGTTGTCTAACGCGATTCTGTTTCATTAACTTTGTTAGAATTGCAGCTGACCGATACTAAATCTAGCTTTACAGAACGTTTGCAGATACAGAATCTCTTCGGTTTTGAATTTATCTATAATATGATTTATTATAATTAAATAAATATAATGTATATTTTAAAATCATATTACATTTATATAATTAAGTAAATATTTATCTTTTCAGCTTGAGTAAAGATATCCAAAAACAAATTTCGTTTTATAAATTAAATTTTTTAAATCTTATTAATTATTAATAATTTACGTGTTGTTTATATTTAAAATATTAATATATAATTTAAATTACGAATTTTTTTATTTCATATTTGTTTATATGCCAAAACAAATAATTCTTTCTCTGCGACAGGTTCTTAGCACGAATTGACTAGAAAAGTAAATGGTGAAGATGAACATGATACAAACGTATGTTTTTTTTTACAACTCCTACTGAAAAATTCTGTATTTACTTAGTTATTCTGCTGTATTTTTATGCTGTAGTTTGATATAAAATAATAAATTATGTTTTTCAAACTATCGTCAAGTCGTTTATTTAGTACGAATTTTGTAGTAATCTTATCATATCGTAAATCTTATAACAACTAAAAGAGAGAAATATATTTATATAATCAATTATAGCTGCTAAATATTTTACGTAGTCCTTTAATAATTTATTTATTTAAAAATTTAAGAAAATTGCTATATAGATTTAGCTTTAAAAGTCATTTTTTTAAATTTATATATATTTGACATTTTCTATTTTCCAATTCTTGAATTTTTTATTCGGTTATAAATGAATGAATTTATATTATTTAATTTTTGTTAAAGCTGACTTGATATCAATTATTCCCTTTAAACAAAAATTATTTATTTTTTGTCGCTAAAAGTATTTTTATAATTTTCTTTATTTAATTTTTTTCAAAATTCTTAAATTTAAATATTACAACTTTCAAACTTTATAATTTATAAACAAAATATCAGCATTTAAAATATATTTTAATTTTATTCAGTTTAATATTATTTTGTTTAAGTTTCGAATTACATTTTAAATTTTTTTTAAATTAAATTATTCTGAGTTTTATATAATAATTTAAATTAAAAAATAAGATTATAATATACTTTTTATAATTATATTTTTAAAAGTAGATCTTTGGATTATATAATTAACTTTTAGAATTATGTAATTATTTTGTTTTGCAATAAACTTTTGTCTTATAAAATTAAATTTTTAAATTATATAATATTTTTTCATCTTTAAAATAATTATTTTATAATATGTTTATACAGTCGACCCCCCTATAACACTGTTGATAATTCCGTTTTATATGAATTCCATGTTGTACAAGTCACTTAGATTTCACAAATACGTGAGCCGTTCACAGCCCCTGCACACGTATTTGTAAAATCTAAGTGACTCGTACAACATGGAATTCATATAAAATGGAATTATCAACAGTGTTATAGGGGGTCGACTGTATTTTTATCAGTAATTTTTTGGATTACAAAACATAGTTGAGTGAAAATATATATTTAAAATTTACAAATTTTATTTTTATATAACAAATTTTTCTCTTATTCTAACACGTTTTCGATTTAATAACTTCAAAAATTAATTTCACATTTTGATATTGAATATAAAATCAAAATTAAAAGAAAATATATATCATAAAGGAAAAAAATTTATAAATCGAAAAAAATTCACAAAATTAAAAAATTACAAGACCAAAAACGTAAGCTTAATTAAATTAAAATTTAATTAATTTTTCACTCAAAGATAATTTTACACGTAAAATTTTATGTAAAAAAATTGATAGAAATATTTAGAACAAAATAACTTTCTACCGCATTAAGCGTTTAAGCTTTTTTATTTATTTTTTTTATTTTTATTTTTGTTACTCGTACTACTGATAATAACCTAAAAGTAAATTACCGTTAGAATAATCTTGTAGGCTAATGCAAATTTATTGTGATTAACTGGCTTCTAAATAGTCGAACTAAGCTATCGAAGTTGGAAAGGTTAATTTAATCAGACCAAAGTTGGAGATGAGAAAGAATGTACTTGCTGGGAATTTTCGTTTATTCATATTATTTTAGTACAATTATCATCAAGAGTGATCAAATAGTCGATTAAAGGATGGAATAGAACTTTTTTTCTTATTTTTAGATGGAAAACATGAAATTGAAAAACTTTTTATAAATTTTTTTTATTTCTTGAAATAAACCAGATGTCGACAGATCAGTATTACATTATCTTGTATATTTATGATGATTATTTCCGTTTTAATCTATTCTTTGTTAAAAACACACACAGATATATATATATATATATACAAATATGTATAACGAAAAATATTCTGTTGCTAGTCTTGTTTACTGGAGTATTTAAATTTGCTTGATTATTGTTATCAGTTTTGTTATTATTGTTTTGCTAATGTCTAACTTTTAATTCAATGATTATATTTATCTGTCGTTTCCTATGAAATTTTGCAAACAACATAGACAAATGTTTGCAATAAAATTTGTAGTAGGCTAAAATTGTAAATTTATATTTACAAATAATGTATGATCCTATTTTCAGATTAAAGTTATAAATTTGTATATTTTAAATATTTATCAATTTTGGTAAATAAATTTTATAACTGTTGCTGTTTGAATTAGTACTATTATTAACTTATAAATATATGAGTTAAATTATAATTTTTAGATTAATGGGAACATAAAATCATTTTTAAAATGATTATTTTAAAAGTGCGCCTAATTCAGTTCGATGCTATTTTAATATAAAAAATTCATTAAAGATAATTTAATTATGCAAATAATTAATATATAAACATATAATTATAAATATTTTATTAGAATGTTATATAGATTTATGCTTATTTTATTTATTTTTTTTCAATTTTTGTTATAACTTTAAATGAATAATTCATAAGTTATTTAAGAATATCTATAATTAGAAATAAAAATAAAAATTCTATTTTCTTTAAAGTATCATTTTAAATTTATGAAAATTGAATACATTTTTACATTTAATATTATTCGAAAAAATAAAATAAAATTGAATTTGTAATATTTCAATTTACAGGAAAGAACGCTTCGCAATTTTCATTCGTCAAACTACGATTCGACACTGTCCACAACTAGACAACAATGACTGTTGCTATATAAAAAAATTAAAAAGAAATTTGATCGAAATGTTTGATAATACAGTAAATTGGCCAACATTTCTAGGAGTTTTATTTAATTTGTCAAGTTTCGTTTATAAAATTCAGAAGAAGGAAAGACGAGCTGCATGTTTTGTGCCTTGGATCTTCGAGAGAAAACTTTGTACGATTGTAAACATTTACTGATAAAGAAAATATTTAAAAAAAGATGTATTTGCCATTATCAACGTTTGCAGATATACCTTGTAATGATATTACAATTTTAATGTTTATAGTAACTCGCGATATCTTCGTCATTAAAAAAAATGTGTAATACCGATCAAGTAACATGTTAATAAATGTCAGAAATTTTATTACTGTCCAAGTCTACTTTTTATGGATAATTTAATGAGCATCTCTCAATATTTTAAAAAATAGCACTAAATTATTTATAATATAAATTTACAACTTTTTTTATTTTTAAATTTATTTAAAGATTACGAATGATTTTACTTTAAATATATTTAATTAATTATTGAAGCTTATTAACGATAAAATTTAATTATAAACGATAAATCATGATTAATTAAAATACTTTAAATTCTTTTTTCGTTATATTATATGTAGAAATTAATTATCATACTTTTTGAAAAATTCTTAAATTTATATGCATATTCCTTATTGCAAACAATACATTTAAGGAAGTTCAATATGACTTTAACAAAGCTATGTTTGATGGGAATATTGAAAAATGTGAAGCAGAATTGGACTGACTATTTTAATAAGATGGATAATTTGTCATTTATGTCATGTTATATAAGTCATTAAGGCGCCTACAATGCTGCCTGAGTCCAACCATGTTGAAGCTCTTCAAATTGCTTGTCAGATCTCAACATCCTTATATAGCTTAGGCATTTTTTAATATGACTACAATAGTTAACCTATGAAATTCTCTTCTATCGATGTATGGTTTTGACGTTAAAAACAATGTTAATAAGTAAAACTTTTAAACTTAACGCCGATGGCTTTTTTTAAATATAATTATTATTTCCTTTTTTAAAGTCTCTTGTGGGTTTTTTTGTAATGTAAATATTAAATATTTAATAAAAGAACTAAAATATTTATAAGAAATAAAATGTATAAATCAAATCAAGTGCACCCAGATCACATTCATTTAATATTCATAGCAAAGTATTATACATTTCAACGTTGCAACTATTTCACGAAATAGCCAAACGTGACAAGAAAATCATAATGAATAAAATTTATAACATCAGACGGAATACGACATTTTAATGAAACAATTTAAAGTTATTCCAACGTTGTATAAAAGAATAGAAGAAGAAAAAAACCATTTACTGTTTTTCTTTCTTTATTTTATCATCATTTTCTTTAGAATATTGACTTTTCCTTTCACGGGTTTTTTTTTCTTAAAGGTATAGAGAACATGAGATTTATTCAAGTTTGACCTAATTTTATTCCTATACTTTGATGAGACTTATGAGATTTACCGAATTTTCAAGAAATATCATTTATATTTGAAAAGAAAATTTCTTTATCCCGCTTTTGCTGTTCATGACAGATGTTCTCAAACTTTGTGTTGTAAATAAACGTATTATATTTCATGGCTCGTTTCCAGAAAAGATTAACTAAAAAAACAAAAAATAATTCAACTCACGTATTTTTATTTCGTGTAACTTAAATATAAAATAATGTAATTTACAGTTTTATTATTTTGTATTATTTTGAAACATTAATTTATTATTATGTTTTGTGTGTAGTTTAATTAATTAAGTTTTTTCTCTTTTTAATGTTATACAGTACGTTTTCTATTTACATATTTTTGCATTAAAATGAAGTAAATTTTGTGAAATATAATTAACGAATTTTGACAAACATAGGATAAATTCAATAGCAAAATTGTTGTCATAACAGTGATGCATGTTTATTCAATTATAGACTGATTATTAAATTTCTCAAATGTTACCATTGTGATTATACATTGTTAGATTGGTGTCAGGTTGCAATTATTAGGATAATAACTTGTTTATATGGGAAAATATACCGAAAAGTATGATGCGATTGTTTAATAAATCGATCGTTTTAGTTGATTATGGAAAATGCAATTGCTGGAGTAACAGATAATGCGGCGTTATATGTAAACAAACTTAAAGATAATGCAGAATGAGATAAATAAGAGCGTTAAAGTAAATTATACTAACTATTATTAAGATAATTCGTCTTTGTGTTAAGATACAAATAATTAATTTTGAGAAGTTTAAAACTTTCAGAAATGATGAAAAGCACAATCGCTCTTCTGCTGTTACATTATTAAATTTGTAGTGGTTACTTTGCGTCAAATTCTCTAGTATGTATCGGTTGATTGATCGTTTGTTAGTTATTTAGTAATTAATAATTATAAATAATAATAATGCTTCCGCCTATGTTTTCGCTTATAATATGATACGCAGTTTGAATATAATATTAATAAAATTATTGAGTTACTCGGCATTAAACTTATCTAGATTATTGTAAAAAAATAAAACTATCAAAATTATTTATTTATTAATTTAAAATATACACGTATATAATTTATGAAATATTTTTGTTTTTTGTTGATTTATACTGTAATTACATTTGTTTAATAATTATATTCACTTTTCTATTTTTATAGATTATCTTTTTGACTATAATCAATTATGTAATTTCAATCTATATGATGTATCGGTTGTACTAAACAAGGTAAATTCTGAAATTTCAACTCAATTTAATCGAGTTGAAATTCGAGAATTACTCGCTGATCAATGTTCAGTATTGTCAACTGAAATTAGCTAATATCCGTAATATTTATTATCTATTTAATTTTAATTTTGATTTTAATTTAATTTAATTTATATCAAATTGTCTATGTAATGTGAATTAATAATGTTCGTAAGGTTGATCTTATGTCCTAATATTATGAATCTAAAACTTTTTCAATGTTAAAAAATCATAATCGTTTAAGCTGTCTTGATACCTTAATTTACGTATTAAAATATTTAATTAATTTCTAAATTTAAATATTACTCAACTAAAATCCCAAATCTATTAAAAATATGATAAAATATTTTCTTTCTCGGATTCTTTTAACGTTAAAATTCTGTTTATTACAAAGAAAAAAATCTATATATTTAACAAAAAACATATATATATTAAAATATGTAAAAGTTTATTTAGAATAATTTTCATAATAGTAAGTTTTGCAGCTTTTTTTAATGATCGTAAGTTTTAATTATTAATATTATTAAAGGCATTATAATGTTTATTAAGTCATGTTAATATAATATTAAGTAAAGATTAATAAATAATTTAATTTATTTAAGGTTTAATGTATTTCTACTGTAAATACACAGTACATTTGTATAAATTTTTCGTTTTTATTTGGTCTTTGCATCAGTTCCATCATAACTTTATTAAAGAATATCTTTTTGTGAAATTTGAAAAAGTTTCTAAAAACAAAACTCTAGTTTTTTCTCTTTCTAAATATTTTTTATCAAGTATAATATTCATATTTATTCTTATCAAAATTGCCGATGGCACAGTAACCTTTTTTAACTAGACATTCAGTAAAAAGAATTCATGTAGCTGTTCTATACTTAAGTTTAATTATATAAAAACTCTTTACTTTCAACGAAATTTTATTTGTTTCTATTGAATGTTAGCCAAGTAAATTTAAGAATATTCCGAAATTTATACAAAATTAGATTACTAAGTTAAACTTATGTCTTTTGAAAAATTACCTGATTTTGTTTTATGTATAAACTCTTCTTAATATTGAAATTTATTCTAATAAAGAAAAAAATAATTCATGCAGTAGCATCTAAGAAAAAAAAATTAAAAGATTGTTCATCGATTAAGGAGTAAAATTAAGCGCTTTGATTTATTTTAAAAACTAATATGTACTTTTCAAAGTGCATTTTATTAACTGTTACAGCTTTAAAATGTTCATTTTATTATTTTTATCAAAAACTTATTAATTTAAAATATACACGTATATAATTTATGAAATATTTTTGTTTTTTGTTGATTTATACTGTAATTACATTTGTTTAATAATTATATTCACTTTTCTATTTTTATAGATTATCTTTTTGACTATAATCAATTATGTAATTTCAATCTATATGATGTATCGGTTGTACTAAACAAGGTAAATTCTGAAATTTCAACTCAATTTAATCGAGTTGAAATTCGAGAATTACTCGCTGATCAATGTTCAGTATTGTCAACTGAAATTAGCTAATATCCGTAATATTTATTATCTATTTAATTTTAATTTTGATTTTAATTTAATTTAATTTATATCAAATTGTCTATGTAATGTGAATTAATAATGTTCGTAAGGTTGATCTTATGTCCTAATATTATGAATCTAAAACTTTTTCAATGTTAAAAAATCATAATCGTTTAAGCTGTCTTGATACCTTAATTTACGTATTAAAATATTTAATTAATTTCTAAATTTAAATATTACTCAACTAAAATCCCAAATCTATTAAAAATATGATAAAATATTTTCTTTCTCGGATTCTTTTAACGTTAAAATTCTGTTTATTACAAAGAAAAAAATCTATATATTTAACAAAAAACATATATATATTAAAATATGTAAAAGTTTATTTAGAATAATTTTCATAATAGTAAGTTTTGCAGCTTTTTTTAATGATCGTAAGTTTTAATTATTAATATTATTAAAGGCATTATAATGTTTATTAAGTCATGTTAATATAATATTAAGTAAAGATTAATAAATAATTTAATTTATTTAAGGTTTAATGTATTTCTACTGTAAATACACAGTACATTTGTATAAATTTTTCGTTTTTATTTGGTCTTTGCATCAGTTCCATCATAACTTTATTAAAGAATATCTTTTTGTGAAATTTGAAAAAGTTTCTAAAAACAAAACTCTAGTTTTTTCTCTTTCTAAATATTTTTTATCAAGTATAATATTCATATTTATTCTTATCAAAATTGCCGATGGCACAGTAACCTTTTTTAACTAGACATTCAGTAAAAAGAATTCATGTAGCTGTTCTATACTTAAGTTTAATTATATAAAAACTCTTTACTTTCAACGAAATTTTATTTGTTTCTATTGAATGTTAGCCAAGTAAATTTAAGAATATTCCGAAATTTATACAAAATTAGATTACTAAGTTAAACTTATGTCTTTTGAAAAATTACCTGATTTTGTTTTATGTATAAACTCTTCTTAATATTGAAATTTATTCTAATAAAGAAAAAAATAATTCATGCAGTAGCATCTAAGAAAAAAAAATTAAAAGATTGTTCATCGATTAAGGAGTAAAATTAAGCGCTTTGATTTATTTTAAAAACTAATATGTACTTTTCAAAGTGCATTTTATTAACTGTTACAGCTTTAAAATGTTCATTTTATTATTTTTATCAAAAACTTATT